CATCCCAGTAATGTCACCAGTGGCTGCTTTGCTGGGAGAGCACGGCTGGGAAAGGGTTAATGCAGGAAGTATTTGCTCCTTTCTCCTCCACATCTCCAGACTGACTGACATGTGAGCAGCTCTGACCTGCTGAATCACAAGGCCCAACCATATTCCTATAGCCTTGGCACCCACATCTGGCCACTTCCTTCCAAGCAAATGCTTGGGCACACCTGCATGGTTATGGCTTCTGCATAGTGCTCATCAAGCTCCAGGCACTGAGCCCCAAATTAACAAGGGGCTTTGCAAAGGACTATGATGAGGCATTTGAACAAGCATGGAAATATCCTGAACGAGCTGAACATAACAGTGGTATAATGTACAGCCCTGTGTAATAACACTGGAGCACATGGCACTTTCCACGGCTCAGGGCTGCTGAAGGATCTCACGTTGGGCACAGTTCGTCACAACAGTTGATGCTCTTGTTGACTGCACAAGGGTCAGCATGAATGCGAGCTGGAGCCTGCTCTTAGCCAGGAATCTGGGGGAGAACTTCTCCAGGATGCTGCAGGGACCATCTGGTGCAAACTGCTCTGCTAGGAGCCTGGCAGCCCCCAGGGAGCGACTGTGAATAGGCTTCTCCTACCAGACACAAGGACAGCTTCCCAGTCGGGTGGAAACCCACAGCGTCTCATGCTCAGACAGGATTTCTCTCCCACCCACTAATACGAGTCCTGTGGCTGGATCAAATGACTGATGAGACACAAATCCAAGATCTTAAACACTTATTAAAAATCCCAGGGCCTTTGTTTTTTTGTTTTACACTGCTGGATGAATTGCAGCGTTGGTCCTAGGATCCCAGCCAAGCCCTGAGTCAACCCTTGCCTCCTCTCTGGGTCGCTCCAGCAGTTTAATTGGACACAGGAGCAGGCAGCTCCCTGGCAGGAAGATGCTGCGAGTGCCGTGGCTCACCAGGCTCCTCCAGATGCCTGGCAGTGTGCCATGCCTGCCAAGTACCGGTTGTCACTGCCTTGGCTTGTGGCTTGTCCCCATAAACACCCTCATGCCCTCAGGAATGGGATTCCTGACTGGCCCAGAGGGAAACATGGGTCTGAACCTCCAGCCCCAATCTGCTGCCCCATCCCTGTCCTCCCCTGCCTGCACTAGCACCCTATTCTGCAGCCAGATGCTGCTGCAGATCTTTCCAAGGTGTTATTTCTCTCCTGAGATGGTTTTCCCCAGCTGTATTCCCAGATGGGAGGCTGGAGCAAATCCGTGTGCCAGCACTGCTGTCCTTCCCAACCCTTATCTGACACGTGGAGCATCCTCCAGCATCTCCATTGTCAGCAGCAGATGGAACAGCACTTCCTCAAAACCCCAAATAGCAATTTAAACTTGGAGATATCCATGAAGATTCCTAGCTTTCATGACCCAAAGGGACACTTAGCATCATCTAACCTTGTCATCTGGTGCAATTCAGTCCAGAAAACCTCACCCAATAATTTCAGCATCAGCTCCGTAATTTCCACTGGAGCTGTATCTAGCTATGTCAAAGCAAAGCTTTCCAGAGGCAAGGGTCCAGCTCAGCCCCTTGGCTTCCAGAGGAGCTACAAGAGTATAGAATATAATTAACTGTAAAGCCTTTTTTTACTGTAGGACCACAAGTGACCCCCCACCACCCAGATCAGTCCTGCCTTCAGTCATGACAAGGACAGCTCCAAAACAAACTCCTGCCTGACTTGCTCCTACCAACAAGAGATTCATTCTTTGTGAATCCTAAGCCTCTGTCTAAATCAGGAATAAAAAGAACATCTTAGCAGGACTGTGTTTTTTGAGGCACATTTCACAAACATTTCCTGCTAGTCCTGTTTAAACACTGGCCACTGCAGAAGAGGCAAAACAGCCTGAAGAGGGAAGCGTCTAAAAATTAAAAATAAAGTGAAAACAATCAGACTCCAGTCTCTTCAGTAAACATTTGGGAGGCAGGCTGATCTGGTGGGGACAGTGGGGACTCTGAAGATCCTGGGTTTCTCCCAACTGTGCCGCTTATTTACTGCATAATTTGGAACAAGCCACATTAGCCCTCTGCTCCTTGGTTTTCCCCTGCGTTCAACAGCAATAAAAACACCCACTGCCCTCTGTGTTCAACTGCTGCTGAGAGGCTGTGATGAAAAGGCTGGATCTGGTACTACTAGGACCCAGAGTGGGGTTATACCAGCAGAAGGTCAGGGGTACAGGAGGACACTCACCCCTGGACCTGAGAGATGCTCAGAGAGGATCTTCGTGACCCTCGTCACCACCCTCTGGTTGTGCCACGCTGGAGGATGGCGATGGCAGGGCTTGAACTGCCAAACTAAAACCTACAGAAATTGAGTTCTGCTGGAGACAATATTGGCCTTGGAAAAAAGCAGCAAATTGACTGTGAAATAATAGGGATTTTCAGACTTCAAAGAGGGCGTAATGAACAACAGAAAGCAGCCTGGCAACCCAAGAGATGTGCTCAGGGACCTCGAAGAGGCCCTTTGAACCCCTCTCAGTGTGGATGGATCTAATTATCCCTAAACCCGTGCTGAGTGCGTGTCTGTCTCGGATATCTCCACCAAAGTCAGCCCCAGCCCTTCCCATCACAGCCAGCTCCAAATTGTTCTCAACTGAGCCACGACCTTTCCTCATTCAGCTGCTCACTACCAAGATCACCCTAAACTTTGCTGTCCTCTGGGCACACGTGTCTCCTTGCTTTGGAGATATCCCACCATCCCAAAGCGTATTGGAATATTCCTGAACCTTCAGGTCAACTTTGCTGCTGCACAAAACAAAGTCTGATCACATCCAGCCTGTGTCACACCGAGATTTCATTTCCTTGCCCAGCAACAGTACCATCTTTGTGTCAAAAACGTCACGACACAAACAAGTAGGTCTTGTAGGACAAACCTCCAACGGTGGCCACCCTGTTGGCATCTCTCCCCATGCAGAGAGCTGCCAGACAGTCCCCGTTTGGATGGGGCTTAAAAGAGTTCCCAAAAATATTAGGTGCCCAAAGCACCCTCTTTGTGCTGTGGCACGCAAGGGTTTTGCCCCAGGAGGAGACCACTGCAAAAAGGACAACCCAGCTCGCCCAGGCTGAGGCTGCCCTGGGAATGAACCTCCTGTTATTGCCCAGTGAGGACAAGCTGCTTCTCATGGTCTGGAGTTAAAGCTGCCTCTCTTGCCTCCAGGCCGAGCACAAGCCTTGAGGCTTGGAAGTATTTTCCTGCCAGTGTTGCAGAAGTGCTGCCCAGTGGCAACCAGCAAAGGCACGGGCAGCTGCTTACTGGTTTATCCACAGCGTGATAAAAGATCTTTGCTGTGGAATTAACTCCATCCCTCCTGGCACTAGTGCCAATGCATTCGGGAAAAGTGGAATTAACAGAAAAAAGTGAGAGGAAATGTGCAGAGAAAAAGTGTCTTGTGAAGGGAGAAAACCACCATTTTGGGGATACCTGAAAGCTCAAAGCTGTCAGAGAAGGAAACTTAGTAAAAATCTAGAGTCAGAGGTAACATCCCTATGGATTTGGAGAGCTCAGCTACCATCAAAGACATGGCTGGAAGTCCAGGATCTTGTTGCCTCCATGCTGCATTTTCAGTGTTCCCACATCCCATTCTCACAGCTTCTGCAGCCACTGAAGCCATCTACTCGCCAGGTCCCCCCCAAAATTGAGGTGGGGTGGGTCGGGGAGGCCATGGACAAGCAGGGAAATTGTCACCATGGGGAGCCGATTTTCCATTTTGTGAATAGGTGGGACTCATGGCTTGCGATCATTTGGGAAAGCCAGAAAACTTTGATGGATGTTGCTCAAGGGAAGAAGGCTCTGCTCTCCTTCAGAGCCTTCAAGATCTGCAGAGAGGACAAGAGCCCTGGCCAGAGCAGTGGGATGCTAGGGAATGCCTGGTGCCTTGCAGGGAGAACACAGCAGGGCTGGGAGAGGCAGCAAGGGCTGGGTGAGCTTCACAGGAGAGGCCAAGAGCATCACTCAGCAGCTGCTGGGATCAGCAGAAGGGAAGGGTGGGTGGACATTACAGGGAGCCAAACTGGCAACAGATTGATGGGTGGAGGCCATGCTACAGTGGAAGAAAACCATCAGAAGGAAGGAGGTGGACCCATCACCACCTCGTCCAGCTCAGCAAGCAGCCTGGGCCCCCACACTGCAGTGACAGGGACCCTTCAAGCACATCAAATAAAAATGGTAGCTCAGGTCTGAAGTCAGAGCCCCAGATGCCACTGTCACTGATGGGACCTTCAAGTACTGCTGAGAAGAAGGGGGAACATGGAGACCCTCTGGGACTCCCCACTGCCCACCCACCACTGCTCTGCAAACACTGACTGGATTGTGCTCCGTGCTTGGGACAAACCCCTGGGACACTGCAGAGCTTGTGCCTTTTCCCACCCCGCTCCCTCCCCAGCACCCAGTGCCAGGCAGAGGCTCCACAAGGGCTGGGGCACTTCATGACACCCCCCAAAGCTTCCTGAGCCCTCACCTCCAGCCAAAAACAAGGAAGGCTACACCCAAAGGCCAGCTCCACTGGTGTCACTTCAAGAAGATAACTGATAGTATGCACTGACACACAGAACCAGACGTGGAACCCCTAAAAGCTACAGAATCAGGCTGAAAAGAGAATGGAATATTTTAACATGGAACTATCTTGATATGCCAGAACTGTTTATACTAACAAAAATAAAGATTAGACATGGAAAAGACCATCTCCAATGTTGCATCAAAACAGCTCAGACCAGCAGCACCAAAGAAACATCCCGAACCTATATTTATACTGTTTTTATTTCCTTATCCCACTATGCCTCCAAGAAGAAGAGGAGGGGAGTCCAGCACCTGAAATCACCAGGAATGTTTGCAGAACTGTTAATCAATTAAGAAAGAGAGGATGGCAGGATAATCCTGCCTCTCCTGTGATGTCCTTGCAGGGCCAGTCCCGGGGGACGTGCGAGGTCAGGGTTGGCCAGGACCCAGCTCCCTGTGGTCTCCCACCATAGCCCAGGAACACGGACACTGCTGCATTGTCACCTCCAGACTGTGAGCCACCCACGAGTGGGACCCAGGCGGGCTTTTGAGGATCACTGGATGTTTGCTGGCCTGTCGAGGGCTGCAAAACCCGGTGCGGGAAGACCAGAGAGCAGCTCAAAACACAAACAGCCGGGAGGGAGCCCAGGGGCGAGGTGCCAGCGCCACGGCAGATGCCAGCCAGCTCCCACCACAGGAATGTGCTCACCAAGGCTTGGAAATCAAAAAATATCAGGGGAAAGGACTTCCTTTTATTCGCCATTTGTGCCTGGAGAAATGGAGCTGAGGAGCAGACGCCTTTTCCCTGCTGCCACTCCACCGTGGCACCAAAAATAACCCGGCATCCACAACCTCTGCTGCAGGCATGGGGCTGGAGGGAGTCCTGGGGCAGGGACAGCTTCCCACCTCACACCAGCATGGTGGCAGCTAATTCCCAGATTTTCATGAGGCAGATACAGGTCTCACTGGTGTTCACAGCACACACATCCCTGTAGGGAGACAAAAGTGTCCCTCTTCTCCAAAATTTGCAGCCTCAGCCAGTAAACAGATAAGGGTCGAAGAAAGGGAATCTTATCCTCAGCGGAAGAAAGAAGAGAAAGAGGTTTGAGCAGTTTAACTTCTGAAAGAGGTCTTGTTCCAGAAATACACGTGGGTAAGGATGTATTTATGGATGGGGTTTGCAAGGCCCTCACCAGCTTTTTGCTCCAATCTGACCCACACTGGTCAGATTTCTGGCCAAAATCTCTGGAAAAGTAGTAAGCTGTGAGCTGGCATTTTTCACAAGGGGATGGGAAAACCAAGTACCAGACACTCAGGGAGGGAGCACAGATACACTCCCCAGATTCAGTGCCCAGCAGAAACAGGCTGGGTTTTAAATTTCACCCATCAGCTGCTCTTGCACAGAAGAGCTGGTATATAACCATGGGAATTGTTCATCAAACGATTACAGGTAAGACTAGAGGGGTTGAATGTGCTCAGAGGGAAAAAAATAAAATCAATGAGTGGATAGAAGATGATTCCTTAAAGGTGAATTTTTTTCCTTTTCCAATTATTCACCCAGCTCCCTGCCTGAGCTTTACGAGCAGCACGCACTCAGCAGCACTCTTAGTCATAGGATCATGGAACAGTAAACTGGAGAGGCAAACAAGGAAAACACAGAGGGCTCTGTCTACCTCCTCTTTCTCTGTCTCAAAGGTCCTGACCAAGACACTCAAAGAGCTTCTCCAGAGACCAAAGCATGTGCAGGATCATTGTGGTGCCTACTGAATCAGGCACAAGCCAAAATACTACTGCTTTTACCACAGAGTTTTACGTCCTACAGTAACCAGGAGGTCCCTCCAGCAGGAACCTGGAGCTCCTACGGTCAGACCATCTCTCTGGAGATGGCAAGCCCTTGGTGCTGAGGTTTGCTGCTCAATGTCTGGGCATTGCACCCCAGGACTGACAGACACTTCTGACATGGCCTGGTTTGCACCAAGGTTCCACATTACATCATCGTTTGGCCAACACCATCTGTCCCACAGGCTCACCAGAACCACAATTACACCCCAGAAGTCCATTTTTTCCCCCAAATTATTCCTGCAATGAAAACACAGCTCAGATTGACAGTTGCTGACCAGAGCAGGGCTGCCAGGCAGTTTGCATAACACGGTCCGGAGCATGCTCGGCGGCCCTGGCTAATTCCTCACTGCAACAATGGAAAAACCCAGAAATCTTGGTGAATAAGCCAGTCTGTGTCCTAAGTCAGCCCTTGGATTTCCTCCCTTTCTTGAGCCTGTCTCGCCTCTGCACAGGCTCCGCTGGGGCTCTGCAGCCAGCCCCAGGAGCAGAAATCTCAACAAGCTCACAGTTATGTGCTCGTCTCTCAGCCGCCTGCTGCAGCCAGGAACTGGCTGGAAATCAGTTCAAAATGTTCCAGTTCCAAACCCCACCCCACAGCCCCTGGATCTCTCTCTTCACACTCACAGAAGCAGGCGCTGGGGCTTTTAACCACTTTGCTTTAGCCTTCTCTATTGGGAGAACAGGGGACATCCCCTGCATTGTTCATTCACCTTTGCCACTGCCACCCCAAGACAGAAGCCAAGGAAAATCCCAGTCCCAGCTCTAGCAGTGATTTCCCTGCTCTGCCACCTCTCCATCCCTTTACCAATGCCCACACCTCTCCCTGTCCACAGCTCTGTCTCAAGAGCCACAGGCATTGCCAACCACCTCCTCCAAGCCAGGCAAGCAGCACAACATCACTGCCTGGCGTTTCATACCCACCAGCCCATGTCACACCACTTCCCTGCCGGCTCTGCTGCTGCCCCATCCCTTGCTGGAAGGCATCAGCCACTCACACAGGTGTCCTGACCATGACCGTGGTTGTGTCATGCTCAACTGCTCATAAGACACAGCAGAAATTTGGTCTCTGTGCTCCCTTTCTTGTCCAGCTCCTCAGTGCAGTCTAGATCTGGAAGTCTGCAACCAAAATTTTGCAATACAAGAGCAACTGCAGCACTGCTGGCCTTTGGCATGACCCCATATCACTCCTATCTTCTCCCATCCCTGGCAAACTCCTTTTGAATCAGTGAGACAAGACCTCCCCCCACCACCCCAAACACTTCCTCTGTGAGAACAGGCCAAGGTTCTTCTCCCCAAACCAGCTGAAGCTAAACAGAACTCAGGAGCCTGCTGAAAGCTCCGGCACGAGGTGGCTGTGGAGCACAGCAGTGCTCCCTGCTATGCTGTTCAACCAAAACAGGTTGTTTTCCCCCCACTGATGAAACTGGACCCCACTTGGCTCAGCAGGGACCAGAGAGGTTCCCCACTGAGCAGGTCTGCATCGGTTCTTCCTGACTATTTGCTTCCCATTTTCCTCCAGAGAGGAAAACTACCTCTGCACATCACTCAGCAGCAGGGCCAGGCAGGGCCGTGGACACTCCTCTGCCTGGTGCCAAGGGGTTAAGCTCACAGTAAGTTCCCAGAGCCAGTTGCTTCCAACTGGCTGCTGCCTGCGGTTTGTGGGAAGGGATTTTGCTTTTTAATAACATTATAAATAGGGCTGTGTTCAGTATGCTGCAAACCCAGTTACTCTCTCTCTCTCCCACCCATCTCCCTCCTCCTCCCGCTCCTCTTCCCACCACGCTTTATTCCAGACCTGACCATGAATGGGTCAGGTTTCTTCCTCGGTGTCCTCAGCCTACTGGCATGTCTTGCCCCCGCCATGCAGGCATGTCCCCCGAGCTGCCACTGCCACGGGGGAGACCTGCAGCACGTCATCTGCGACAACGTGGGGCTGAAGAAGATCCCCAAAGTGCCTGAGCAAACGCGTCTTCTCAACCTGCAGAGGAACAACTTCCCCGTCCTGCCGACCAACGGCTTCCGTGACATGAAAAAGCTGGTGTCCCTGCACCTCCAGAGCTCACGGATCAAGGAGATCTCCACCGGAGCCTTCCGGGGGCTCAAGAGCCTGGTCTACCTCTATCTTACCGACAACCAGATCAGTGTCATAAAGCCAGGAGCTTTTGATGACCTCTCTGATCTCACCTACCTGTACCTGGACAAGAACAAGATCCCAGACCTACCCAAAGGGGTCCTCTCCCCTCTTGTCAACCTCTTCATCCTGCACTTAGGCAGCAATAAAATCCGGGAGCTGAAACCAGGGGTCTTCAATGGGGCTAAAGACCTGCGCTGGCTGTTCCTCTCTGACAACTCCCTCACCAACCTCCTACCTGGGGCCATGGAGGATGTAGAAAACCTTGCTGTCCTCCACCTGGACAAGAACCAGCTGAGCAGCTACCCTGTGAATGCAATGAGTAAGCTGAGAGTGCTGGAGGAACTGAAACTTTCTCATAACCCAATTGAGGTCATCCCTGACAATGCCTTCCAGTCCTTCGGGCGATACCTGCAGACACTCAACCTGGACAACATGAAACTGAAGAAGGTGAGTCCTTTCTCTTTCCATTTGCTCCAGATAAGAAACATGGGGCTTACTTTTCTTCCCCTTTGCAAAGCCCTCTATTTGCTGTCTTTCCCTTGCAGAGGAGAGGGGAGATGCAGGTCTGCAGGCTCTGCAGGCAGCGAGGCACTGGCCAGCTGACAACACCCTGACATGGCTCTAGCAAGGGATGAGAGAGTACTCCACCCTTCTGTTGAGTTATTTTATGCAAAACCAAATTATCTGGAGCTGATTAAACCCCTTGGAAAGGCAGCACATTCCCTCCCAAGCTGGAGGTGACACAAGACACTGACAAAGGTATTTGGGATGCTCCAGGACAATGAGCAACCTTCCATCCTCCCAGAAACAAGGTGAGAGATGCGAGGTGAACATCTGCCCTGTACTGGAGGGACTGGAGAGCACTGCCTCCTTGCAGAGCTGAACTGCTCTGCCTCCTTTGCTCAGCCCCAGTACCTGCTGTAGGTTGGGAGGGGGAGACTCCTCAGATGGGCCATGAATAGCCATGGCTTCTTACCCACACCCTGCAGGCAGGTAGACACAGGGACCTTCACCTGCACCTCCCCCCAGCCTCCCAACCTGACACGTTATAAAGAAAGGTTTGTTTATTGATGCTCTCTCGAAAGGAACTCTCGCAGCATCTTACAAAGGGGCCCTGTTCCCACTGGAGAGGAGGAGGGATGTTCAGGTATCCCGGATGGCAAAACAACCCCCTTCTTTTTCTGTGAGAACGCAGGATCCATAGGCAGGAACATCACACTGGCTTCAGGACCTCTGAAATGCCAGGCAGTGCAGGAACAGAACCCAGCACTAGTGCAAGAGCAGCAGCACCCTGAGGCATCCTGATGTCCTGGGGGAATCCCCCACGGGTGGAAAGGGAGAGCGGAGCAGAACAGTTCTCCCTGAGATGATGCTTTGCCAGGACAAAGAGCATTCAGGGAGGCTGGGACTTCATGGCAAAGCAACACCCACCAAGTGCAGGAAGATGTGATGAAAAACAGAATTTCTTTGCAACAAAGAGCAACTCAGAATGTCTCACAGAGACGAGCAGATCACAGGAAAGATACCAGGAATGCAGCACACCACAATTTTCAAGGAGATATAGCATCCTAAAAACTTCTTAAACTGGAATTACAGCTTGCCCAGGTGGAGAACAACAGTACCTAACTAGCTTGGTAGCACTCAGTCAGTATTTAAGTCCTTGTCCACTCTCAGCATTAACCAGTAGTGGTTAACAGGATGGGACTGAGTAAACTCGAAACTTGAAAATATCTACTGACCTCACTAGGCAAGACCTTAGACATGCTGTCACAGCACTTTTGTAGACTCAGTTCTGAGGCACTTTCAATCAAGTTTTATAGATTAAATGTTGTACCAGCTGTAGAGACGTCAGAATCCAAAGTTACACATTGAATGAATTAGACGAACCCATGATGCTGGGATGCTCCTGGTAATTAAGTGTCCTCAGATTGACCAAAGAGCAAAGGTTAAAAATTCTAGCCAGAAAAAAAAGACTTTGTTTTTCACAGTGACCACCTGTGGAGAGGATCCTTAAAGACTCTTCTGCAGCCAGTGGCTCCTTTCCTCCCACACAGCCCAACAGGACACCAGTTTATGGGATCAGCACTGACAGGGGTGGCTTCTGCAGCTTTAGGGCTTGAGAAAACAAAGCTCCCAGTTCAGCATTGTCTCTTCAAATCCTCAAAGGCCTCATACCCACACGGCCCACACATGAACTTTGCACTGTTAAGAGACATCGAATCACAGAGGCCGCGTGATCTAGGAAATCACCACCAAACACTCTGAGTGCTGCTGGCACTTGACTGCAGCTCCTTCTCCTTCACAAATATATTGTCCTCAGTTGTTCCCTGCATGGCTGCAAGGTTTTTGAGCTGATCAAGTGTAAAACCCTTCCACACAAATCTGTCCCAGCCTAAACGGCACTTGAGCAGAAGGGAGGGGGCCCCTCAGTCTCCAGCACAGAGCTCCCCCTCCCCACCAGCATCATGGACCCACACCAGGACCCCACAGGGCTGCATCACACAGGCCAGGACCTACTATGTACCTCAACATGAGACCAGGCAATGCAGACCCTGGAAGCTTTACATACACCCATCTTTGCATATTTCAGTGTAAAATAAATTACAGCAGCAATGCTCCGTGTAAATAAGGGAAAAATCACCCATTTCTTCGCGAAGACAAGCTCTGGCAGGCAGCAAGGCAGCTGTTAGCAGCAGATGCAAACTCTTCTCAGGGGGCTGGGAGAGGAATGAGCAGCTGAGACAGTAACACCACTGTCCAAGCCTACCGCCCTGCTGCACGGCATGCCAGCATCACTCTGAGCAGCTCCACTATCGGCACAGTAAAACCTCCCAAGGTCAGCTCAGCTTTGGACTGCAGAGGCCAGCACCACTGACTGTCCAACAGCTACAGAGGGATCTGGGAGTCTCTTAGCTAAGCTCTAATCCCATCCAGCATTGCTTAATTTGGAAGATGACAAAAGTTCACAGCTTAAAATAGTGCATTTCCTCCGTCAAGCTTTTCAGCTCAGAGAGCATGAACACACTCTGATGGTCCATCTGAAGTGCAAGCTTCTGGTCAGAAATGGGAGTACAGATTCTTGGCTGTGGGGGGCTTCAGGTAGACCTCGTGAGCCTCCTCTCCAACCTTCAGAGACAGTTTTCCCCTCACTTTTAGAAAGGAGAGAAATGGTTTGTCACATCCAATAAGAGCTTTGTGCTTTGTCAATGAGCCCCTCTCCAATCCATCCATGCCAAGGAAGTTTGTGTTGAGGGGTTTGCTTTCAAGAACTTTACAACCTGAGTAACCATGGGCTGAAAGATGCCGGGGTGAGGCCTCAGGGAAGAGAGGACAGGGCTGCAGAACCAGGTCCACAGCCTCTCTCTGCTTTTCAGCAGCTTTTTAAAAGGAGGTTCTACCCTAAAGCCTCTCCACTAATAATAATTTAAAAAAAAAAAAAAAAAAAAACCAAACCAAACAAAAAACCCCAAACAAATCTTTCAGCAGCCCCTGCAAAAAAACAACTGGAAATGAGAAAAAATGGAGGAGGCTGAGGTGCTGGAAACCTGCCTGTATATCTACACGGCTCAGATGCCAAGTGTAACTTTCCACTCTGAGCCCCTGGGCACTGCCAAAGTCGACAGCCCCTTCAGACGCCACAAACACTCCCTCCTTCAGTCACTCCAGGACAGGCAAGGCAACAGGCATTGGGAGGACTTCCAGCCTTGGAAAGCAATTCACCCAGAAAATATCTTCATTTAGCATGGCTCAAAAATAAAGCAAGCTGCCAGACTTCACCTTATTTAGTGATGTGGCTGCACAGACAATCCCACATGGATTTGAGATGCAGCTCTCTTTGTAGGAGACTCCATCCTCCTTGAGCCCACCAGCCTGTTGCCTCTCTTAGGTGGACAGAGCTTCCAGTAAGCCAGGACCTTCTCTTGCTCTCTCCATGCTTCATAATATCACAGAATGGCCTGGGTTGGAAAGGACCTTAAAGATCATCTCTTTCCAATCCCCTACCGCGGGCAGGGACATCTTTCACTATCCCAGGTTGTTCAAGCCCTGTCCAGCCCAGCCTTGAACACTTCCAGGGATGGGGCATTCACAACTTCTCTGGGCAACCTGTGCCAGGGCCTCATGTTCACACCACTAAAAGCCTTGACGAGAGGAACTCAGGTTTGAAGTCCCCACCCCCAGCTCCTCGTTCCTCTCCAGAAAACCTCTGTGCTTCAGTTTGCAGACAACGCGTTCTCCGGCGTGACCGTGCTGAAGACAGCCCACCTGGAGAACAACCGGCTCACCCAGCTGCCCCGAAACTTCCCCTTCGACAAACTGGAGACACTGACTCTCTCCAGGAACCCCTGGCACTGCAACTGCCAGCTGGCAAATCTGCGCAAGTACGGCACCGCGCGCCCCGTCCCTCCCCGGGGTCCCCTTGGGGGTGGGTCCCCCCCGGGCTGTGCCAGGCAACAAGAGGCTGCTCTCATGCTCAGCAGCTCTCTCCTCAGCTTATCCTCTGATGTCCCTGGTTTGTGCCTCTTCTAAGTTCCTGATTTTCCCCCTCCCCATGTCCCAGGTGGCTGAAGGGGAATCGCACCCGCGCTGACGACACGTGCTCCACGCCCGCGCAGTACCGGGGACAGTCCATCAGGGACACCCCCGCCCTCCGCACCTGCAAGCTGCCCACCAAGAGGTCCAGGAAGGGAAGCCGCCATTGAACACGTAAGATGGTTCCCTTTTAAGCTGATTCCCTTTCAGTCACACCTGCAGCAAACTCTGATGCCACCAAAGGCACCGGGAGTTCTGTCTCTGGCTGAAAATGATGCCAGGTTACACTCACAACAGCTCTTCCATTCCCCCAGTGATGCCTCCATCTCCTGGCAATGCTGAGCTCCATGAGCTCCCAGAGCAGAGAACATGCCTGGAGCACCAGGGATGGAGTGAACTCTGTAAAGCAAATACGGGAATAAAGACAGGCCTGGAGTGGAACATAAGGGCAAAGTATGTAAACAAATAAAAACAGAGAAGCAAGGGCTCTGAAAACACACACAGAATAGCAATAGCTTTGAAATCTTCAGAGCTCCTATTGCAACATGTGAAAAATCCAATCTCTTTTTGCAGTAATTACTGTACTTCAGGAAAGCAGACAAAAGCCCTATACTGTAACAAGGTTTAAGCCTCAATCATGCCTCAGGAATCATGGTGATTTGCACCCACGAAGCCCCATACCAAGTCAAGATGGGGCAACAGGGATAAACATGATATATCAAAACAAGGGTGGACTTAGCCCACCCTTACCCTGAGCTGGGATCACACAGGCTTTGGTTTTCCAACCAACTGGAAATGCTCAGCCCTTTGCCCTAGCACAGGTCCTCCAGGTCTGGTGTGAAATCCAGGGCAGGACATTGCTGGGAAATCTGGCCCCAGACTGCCCAGCCCAAAAGAAAATAGATACCTTCCATAAGGAGCAGTTCTTCATCCAACTCTTGCCTTTCAGCAAATACAATTCCCATCCAAGACAGCCAGGTATTTAAAAACAAGGGCTGATGCCTTCAAATGAGTGTCCCAGCAGAGGGAGGTTTGAGACAGCAAATATTCCTTGGTAAGGTGTCCTGGGCCAGAAGGTGAGTCAGAGACAGGGATGACTCTCCCTCCAGCAATGAGCTTGCTGACAGCCACCAATCCAAACACTGATCCCACAAACACCTTCCACAGCTGGAAACTACCAAGAGCATTAAATTCAGCCCACAGAGGAGCAAAAAAGCCACAACTGTCATCACTCCATTCCAAGCGGAGTTTAATTTTTCCCATCCTGGAAATAGGTCTGAAGCTTGTACGAGTTCCAGAGGACCTTGAATGAGCCTGCATCTGTAAGCTCTTAGGAAAAGGGAACCTTGCTCATTTGTTAAGGAAACTGCAGTGACCCTGCACTGTGCCCTTTCAGAACAGAGAGGACAAGGCAGAAGCCCCAAGGCCAGTTCACTAAGGATATGCACAACAGGATAGAGAAAGGAAACTTATGGCCAAAATGTCAGGGATTATGCCAGTTGCTCTGTGCCTTTCTAAAGTGGTTATTTCTCTTGTAGTGCCAGAGGTTTTATGGATTAGAGATGGAAATACCAGTCATTCCATATAGGGCGGGTAAAGTTCCACTCTAAGGATGGAAAAACTTCAGTTTTCTAAACCACAATACTTAAATATTTTTTATTTACAGGTCTGGCCCTTCTTAACCTTCTTTTCTCCCTGTCTGAGCTCAATCCCAGCTCACTCCTCTATGATGAGAGTAAGAAAACCATGAAACAACAAAAAACACACCAATAATGCCTGGTTTTTTCTGTAGCACCCTCCATCCAGCTCCCTCAAACAGGTTTACAAGTGTTAATGAAATAGAAAACTACTTATTCCAGTCTTCCTCAGTGCCTTCAGGTGTCAGGGCCAAAATGCAGGTACACAAACCCACTCCAGTGTGGTAAGCAGGAATTTAAAGGAATATGAAGTACCTCTGACTTCATCTTACCCCTCTTGAGAACAAAACAACTTTCTGTCAGCCACAGGGGATCTGTATTTCAGGGATGAGTAGGGTCACTGACCACATCTGGGATGAAAAGCTGCTTGATACTTCATCAAATTCTACCTGTCCTGGATTTTCAGAACTGGGGCACCAAAGCACTTCACTGCTCTTGAAAATTTTGCTCTGGGTTTCCTTCCTTTACCAAGAAAGTGCTCCTTGACCATCAGCACTTTGGGTAAGATACTTAGGGGTCACACAGCAACCTGGCAGAAGAGCTCAGAGACAGGACTAACCCACCTCCTCTGCTGTGCAAACCTGCAACAGCTCCTTGACCGCCAGCTCCTCACTTCCAAGTATGGGCTTCATTGGTTGATTTAAAAATAAACAGACAAATGCTACAAGTTTATTGCTGTGCTTGAAAAAAATCTCCTTAAAGATGTGGCCTTCTCTCTTTTTTCACCCTGGCAGGCCCCGGTATGGCCCGTCCTGGTGACCGGTCACTTCAACCATCAGAAAACTACTGACTTCCAAGTCCTTCCTTGAGCTTCTCCTACCTGTCAGGAAACATTCCTGATATATCCAAACACCTCCAGCCTCCTCCGACTCCCCGCTTTTCTCTGCTGATCGCAGGATGGAATCCACCTTTTCAATCTTTTCCGACATCTATGTATTTTAAAAGAGGCATTTTTAAAAACTAAACTATGCATGACCATACTAAGACAAGCTAACCTAGATCCTGCCGGTAAAGCACAGTCATCTCTCCCAGAGGAAACACAACCCACGTCCCCCCATCAACCAGTTGGTCGCTGTCTCTCCCATTCCAGCGGAGCGGAAGCAAGTGGGAAGGTAGGAGCATCCCTCCCCTGCAGCTGCTTGAAGAGGAAAATTGGTCTCAACCCATACAAAGAGACTCCTCTGCCTTCCCACGGAGGGGATCCCTGCAGGCCAGGGCTGAGGGGACAGTGAAGAAGTGACCAAGAACCAGAGACCCCGAGGCCGAGATGCCTTTCACACCAAAAGGCAGAATTCTCCCTGAGTCAGGCAGAAATCCATTAAGGGAAGCAGTACTGGGAATCCCCAAAACTGGAGCCATCTGAAGACTGGATTCCCTCCCACTCTGTGGGGTCTAACAGATGTACGTCCAGGAGGAGAAGGTGTGCACCGTGCAGCTGGCTCAGGCAGCCCTCCTCTCCTCCTTGCCCATACCCCAGAGGATCTAGCAGGACACCAGGATGACTGTGGTTTATTGTCATGGCTATTACAACACCACAGTTCCAATTTAACTACGTTTTTTTAAGCCTAAAGAGTTATATAAATATATGTATATTTATTCCTCTGTAACTGAGTGTAAATGACCTTTAAGAGGGTGAAAACTCCTCTGTCTCCCATATAGAAATCAAATTGTATATTTTCTTATGTACATCTTCTGTATAAAGCTCTTGCTGCAAAGATGAATTCAACAAGTCTCTCTGTGTCTGTCTGAGGGCTGGAGGGATCAGGAGTAACATGAGACCCATGGCACAAATATAGACTTAATCCTCTTTATCCCATGGGCAGAACAACTGTTTGGGAGGGTTTTATTATTTCTCTCTCTACAAAACAGGAACATGTGACACCTAATGAGTCCTGGGCATTTGCAGTAATGCCAGAAAATATTTTGTGAGGCCAAACTCAAGCCTATTATAAAAATAGGTAGCTGTCACCTGACAGAGTTTAAGCAACAGCACCAGGGCTATCCCTGGTGTTATCAGATTGGCATTAAGAGCATCATATCCAGGAAAAAACCCTGGCTGCCTCGGAGGCGGCTCCAGGACAGATGCCCTGGATTCCCCTGGTCCGTGGCAGGACACACAGTTGTCCCTGTAAAACCCTGGTGCAGTTGGGGTCTGCCAAGAACAACGCACCTAATCTGACTCCCAGCCCCACGTGTTTGTCCATCACATCAGCCTACTTCCTCAGCCTTCAGAAGCAGTGTGGTGCTGAACTAACTTCCTCCAGCGTAAAACAACAACAACAAAAATCATTTTTTGGCTCAGCCATTCGTGTGCAGATGGCAGGACCTGCCTAGGAAATGTGTCACCTGGAGTGCCACCGGCCGCCTCGCTGGTGGCCCATTCCCCTCCACGTGCAGGACGTGCTGATGCTCTTGCACAGGCCCAGGGTGTCAGGACACGCAGTGGAGCAGCAAAACACATGGCCCAACACGTGCTGCCCTTCTGGCAACACAACACCCGCTGCTGTGCAAGGGGATGGCACCATTCCCACGATCCAGTGACAAAAAAAAACACGCAACGAAGTTTTGAGTCCACTTGCAACCAATTTGACAGCCCCGCGGCAAGAGGGACACGGGCACCCACCCACACCAACACAAACCAGCAATGCCTCTTCCATCACCATTCTTGCAGCAGGGACAACAGAATGTTTATAAAAGTTTTGAAATGCACCAGCAGAAGTTCAGTTTATGGTCCTGAATGCAATGCCTCCTCACAAAGCTTTCTCCCCAGATCCCCAAGAGCAACCAAGCAGAACCCCCCTTTCTGCCTCCCAGTCCCTCTGCACCTTTTCTCCTCAGCCTGGCCTCGCATCCAGGGTCCCATCATCTGATCCCAGAAACTGTGGCACCACCAGGTACAACTGTGGTCCAGACACACCCAAAATTGGGGTCTCACCACAACAAACAGCCCTTGTAGGCCTGGTCCCAGCAGCCACAACTCACCACAAGCTCTGGCATGTGCATCTTGGTCATAATCGTCTTCATGATCTCAGGGGGAACAGGAGAACCTGCAATGATTCCTGGAAGAAAGAGGAAAAGACCTTGGAAACCATCTATTTATTCCCAGGAGCAGTCCCTCCAATGGTTCTGCATTCCCAGAGTTCAACGCTGGCAAGATTTTTGGGATACAATGGCTCATGTCAAAATACTTTCCATATTTATAGTTACTTTGTTTCA